ACAATCATGTGCTCTTTTCTCCCCACAGGGCGTCACTTATGCAGAGTCCCACACCAGCAAACCCAGACTTCAGTAAGTTAGCTCCAGTTTTGGCCTCTCCCAGGAATGGAAACTTAAACCCGCCAATCTGGAACTACCTGGTCAGCGAGGTAACCTGCCTCACAGACCTGCTGCTCTGAAGGGAGGGGACCAGGCATGGCCACGCTGGCTTTCACCAGGGAAACGTCCTGTCCGCTCCCTCTGCCTGCTGCCGTGCTCAGCTCCCTGAGCTCCTTTCCTCTGGCAGATGGGGTGCTGCCCCCTGCTCCAGTCGCTCACCAACAGCCAATCAGAGCTTTACATTTCACTCAGCTGTTGTTTTCCCACAAATTATGAGGTCATTCTTTCACAAAATTAGAGCCAAAGGGGTCATCCTAAAGGTGATCTAGTTCAAACCATCCATTTTTTTTCTTTTTAAATTAAAAAAGTGAGTCTTGAGGCAGGAGTAGTAAGCTGGTCACAGGTAAGGGCAGGTAAGAGCAGAGTTTGAACTAGACACACCCAATACAACTTTCTCTCAAAACCAGAGCAAATCTCCTCTTGAAATAGAATATTCTGACTCAACCCAAAATTATATCTTAACAATGACCCACCTACTAACTGGTGTGAATTAGCCAAATACACAATACATCTTATACCGAGGGGCACTGGTAGTTACATGCTTCATATAAAACAATCCTTCTTTTAAAAAGTAAAAAACTTAAAATAAAAACCCCTTAAAATAAATAAAAAGTAAAAAACTTATATGGGACAAATTCTATATCTTTTGTAATTAAAAAAAAAATCCTATATGTTAAAGATAGTAATCACCTTCTGGCATATTTTCCAGATACATAAAAAGGAAGAAAGAAAGAAAGGAAGAAAGGAAGAAAGAAAGAAAGAAAGAAAGAAAGAAAGAAAGAAAGGGAAAAGAAAGAAGAAAGAAAGAAGAAAGAAAGAAAGAAAGAAAGAAAGAAAGAAAGAAAGAAAGAAAGAAAGAAGAAAGAAGAAAGGAAGGAAGGAAGGAAGGAAGGAAGGAGAAAGAAAGAAAGAAAGAAAGAAAGAAAGAAAGAAAGAAGGAAGGAAGGAAGGAAGGAAGGAAGGAAGGAAGGAAGGAGAAAGAAAGAAAGAAAGAAAGAAAGAAAGAAAGAAAGAAAGAAAGAAAGAAAGAAAGCTCTAGTCTCACACTGGTGTCAAAAGAAAGGCCATCTGAGTGCAAAAGCTGTCAAAATAAATCAATAGAAGCATTCTCCTGACTGGACAGCAGAGGGCGACAGAGAAAGGACAGGCCCAGAAGGAAGGCTTGCCCCATGGACAATAGGCAGGGCCAGGCTTACAGAGAAGAGATTGTAAACAAACTCCTGGTGGTCTGAGGCGCCAGGACATATGGTCGGGCACTCCCTGCAACTCCAGGCCTGACCCAGGAAATGGCCTGACCCCAGGAATTAACAAACAGTATTTCAACCTCTGCATGATTTCCAGGTGGGAGGATAAGAGAGACAAAAAATACTAAAACCTAAAATGTATCCAATCTTGAAAAGAACAAAAAAAAAGCAAAAAATGGGCTTGTGACATTAACAATTAAAATAAAATACAAGCAGTTAGTTATGCCCCGAAGTAGAAAAAGATCTTTAAGGCACAGAGAGCCTCACCCCTGAGATCAGAATTCCTGAGCATCAGTCGGTGCAGATCTCTCGGGTTATCAGCCTGCTTCCTTGGAGCTATGACAGAAATGAGCTTCATTAGACAGAATCACCTGAAATCTAGGAACCTCCTCCACCGGCTGACTTATCCTCAAAATACACTGGTTTCCAAACCTGATATGTAATAATAATGTCTCAATGGACACAAATATTGAGCTGACTATAAATTCCCATATAGCAAGCATGTCGCTAATCTATATACCCCTTCCCAGGGACATAAGAATCCAATGAAGGCATTGCTACCTTGGCATCAAGTGACTTCAGCATATTTTAGTTGATCTCTGATCTTTTCAGAGAGAAAAAAAATCCTGTTCTAAGGGGGGGGGGAGGTAAGGAATAGAGTGAAGACAGAAAAGGGAGTACTACAGTCAAACTGCTCAATCACTAAGGAGGACGAGGCATGAGGTGACTATTCTGTTCTTGTTCCAAGTAGCCTGAACCTCAACCTTTCTGAGCTGTCCAGCCCTGCGTCAATGGCGATAGGTAACCTCCAGAGAGCCAGCCCTCTGCTTACCCCCGAAGGACTCAGGAAGGACCGTTCCTGCATCCAGACCACAGGCTGCCTGGAGGAGTGGTCGCCAAGGACCTCACGGATCTTGGTGACCTCTGACCTGGAGGCGTACCATTTCGCACCAATACAGAAGCTTAGGGTTAGGGTTAGGGTTAGGCATTTTTTACTTAGAACCCTCAGCTTGCATTTCTTCTTTGGAAAACTCTGGCTATTGCTTAGTTGTGTTTCCAGTTTGCAAACACTAGGACCTTTGAATAAAGCTTTACCATCTATTTATTAAAGAACCAGTGAAGTGGCCATTTTATGTTCTCATTTAACTGAGCTTCTATCTTTGTTGTCTCCTCAAACCTACTCACAGCTCCACTCCGCCGTGCAGGACAGATGATCAAAATGCCAGCGCCGATTCAAACTACTAACGTGTGGCAGAAACAGATATATTTACGTGCTTCCTGTAAAGATGAATAGTAGCGGCTGCTAGCCTGCCAAACTGCACGTGTACAAACTTCCTCCCCCACATGTAAATCAAACACGGGGCATATGGCGTATTGTAAAGAAGTGCTGATGTTACAGCAATCTTAAATTACTCAGGTTCCGGATTAAACTATGGAGATATTGACTAATGTGGCAATATGCTCTGCATCTCTCCACATTAAGTTCATGTTATACATATACAATGTAATGGCATTCATAAAAAAGGTCTTAGAAATTAAGAACAGGGAATGCAAACCTGTTTGAAATCAAGAGGTATATCTCCATAATCAATTATTTGCTAGTGTGGGCACATTCATTCTATGATGATACCAGTAACCACTGTCGGTTGGTAGACTATAATGAGACTCAGTTTTTTGGTTCTCTTAAAAGTGACTCTAACTACAAAGGAAAACTAAACACATGTGCAAAAGGAATGAAGGAACAAATAATGGAGAGACAAGTAAATTAGGCAGGAGAGCAGAGTGGTTTGTGACTGCCGAAGGAGCAGCGGCTGAATCAGAGATGCCCCTGACAACTAAAGACGACTGGCTGCTACGTTTCCAGCTGCTGACTACCGAGATCAGCGCTTCTGCAGAAACGGGCGGTCCTCAGAAGTCAGGCCGAGGACTAGACCGCAAGCCCCTGGGCGAACCTCTCCGTCACCTCGTGGGCTGGCAAATGCCGGGGATACAGATGTCAATATGAAGACATGGGCCCTGGCCCAGGACGTGGTGACAGCGAGAGGAGAGGCGGGTGCCGCAGAGAAGCGCTCTGTAAATTGCCAGCTGATGTCTAAGCGCCAGGTATTACCCTCACCCTCACACTCAAGTCACTTCCTGCCACGTCTCAGTCACTGTTTAAAAAACAATGATCCATCCCGTCAAGTGAGCCAGGTACAAGACACATCCCAGCTGCCTCCGTGGAATCACCGTTTTTAAGAATGAAACCTGCGCAGTGGCGTTTGGAACTGTTCTAGAAAGACGGGGCATTTCTATTCACACAGACGGCTGCTCTGAATGTTGGGTTTCCTTCCAACAACACCGATGATTTGGATCACAGAACGCACAGCACCACGAGAGCGGGAGGACAGGCGGCTGCGACATCCATGCTGCAACGGAGCTGAGAGAAAACGGAAGCCTGGCTCCCCGTTTTGGCCCAGAGGGCCGGCATATGCCCTGCATGGGTCCAATCACGCTGGCAAAGGCCGAAAAAACAACCAGCATCAGGCACACAGTGTGGGTGATCCATTGCTAGTCACAGACACAGATTCACAAACCAATTCCAACATCGTGGGAAATGTCTCAGGCTGAGATCCTGGGGGTTCCTGAGGCACGCAGGCAGGGGAAGCAGGACGTCTAACTCCTCAAGACTCAGAAGACCCCACTTCCCTGGGGTCTTTAATCAGGCCATTACATTGCGGGTCTGCTGAGACATGTGTTTAAGACAATTGGCGGAGCTCTTGTTCCTGACAAGTATAAATAATCGAATACTCATCCATCCATCCATCCATCCACTCATTCATCCAATACCCATTGACTCATAGCTACCGAGCCACAGTCAGGAACTGTGTTAAATGCCGGGGATACAGATGTCAATATGTAGACATGGGCCCTGGCTTTATGGATCTTCCATCCGAGTGAACAAGGGAGAGCAGCGAAAAATAAATATACACTCCTGATAAAGGCTACGAAGAATCGGGGTAAAGTGCAGTGCAGGTTTCGTGGAGGTGTTGGAGGGCTACATTAGAGAAGGGGCCAGAGAAGCCTTCTCTCGGGAGGAAACCAATGAGCATGAGCCAGCCGGGGAAAGTGTTGGGAAAAGGACTGCGAAGGCCCTGGGGCAGGAAGGGCTTGGAGCTGAAGGCACTTCAGACAGGAAGCATGGTGGCTCGAGAGCAGGGAGCAGGGGAGAGGAGTGTGAGCCGAGGTCAGGAGAGAGGCTGGGAGCCCCATTGTGCACGCACACTGTGCAGGCCGGGCTCAGGAGAACTAAAGGATAAAGGCTTTAAAAGCTTACTGGTCATTTAGAGGCACAATCTGACTTACATTGAAGGATATCGCTCTAGCTGCATATGTGTAACATATGTGTAAACACAGCCTTTATTCTAAAGATGCTAGCCCAACATTTGAAGAAATCAGAAAATGTTTTGAATGCATTTCTAAACATTTAAATAAAAATAATCTTAGTAAAGCAGACATTTAAAAAGCCCCAAAGAGCCACCTGATGACCAATAAGTTAAACAATGGATTGTGGGTTAAAAAAAAAAAAAAATCAAAGAACAAACTACACCCACATACCTCCTCGTTGCACCAACAAGGTGACCTCACTCCCCTTGGGACACTCGATCAGCATGTCCACCACCTGGTTGTGGGTGAGCGCCTGCACGTTCTTCTTGTTCACCTCCACGATGAGGTCCCCCTCCTTCAGGCCGCGGCACCGGGGGCTGTCCACAATCTGCTTCACTCTCTGGCCGCCCCCGCCGGGACTGTCTGCGATGGTGAAGCCGAAGCCCATTGGCCCTTTGACGATATGAACGGTTATGAGTTCTGGCTGGGTGGCTATGGAGGAGGCCAGGGAGACAGTGTCGTTGGGGTAACCATGGGAACCGTTGGAAGCCACGTCGGCCGGGCTGCTCGGCCTGGCGTCCTTCATGCCGTTGACTTTGCCCGTTTTACTGCTGTGGCTAGCGGGCGAGTCGTAGGTCTCCTGCCCGTTCACGATGATGGGCTCTTTATCCAAAATGGCCACTGAGGTCACTAAACTCGTGTTGGGGTCATCTGGGTCAAAAGGCAATGGGTAACCTCGGCAGAGTTCAAGGTCCACGCTGGCACCGATGGGGATGGACTGGAAGATTTTCACAACTTGCGCGTGTGTGTGTCCCAAAACACAGGTGTCGTTCACACTGACAATTACATCTCCTGCAAAAGGTAAGAGTTTGGGGATTAAAAAAAAAAACAGTACGCAGAAAATCTACCTCAATATCCTATATAATAAAGGTGTAATATGCAAATGGTCGTTATGCTGTGAAGCGTAATGACCAACCGCTTAACAACCGGATCACAGATCAGCAGGAGGGTGGGGCAGCGAGCTACAAGTGGGCGGTGGAGCTACAGGAGCGGGCAGGGCAGCAAGCCAAGGGGTGGGAGTGTGGAGGGAGCCACAGGAGGGCGGGGCAGCGGGCGGAGAGCTAGGATGGCAGCGAGCTACTGGATGTAAGTGGGTGGCAGAGAACTACAGGAGTGGGCAGGGCAGCGAGTAGAGAGCCACTGGAGGGTGGCAGCAAGATACTGGCGCACAGATTTGTGCGCAGGGCTACTGGTTATGATATAAAGGCCTACCAACAGGAAGCTGATCTGAACCTGGATTTGGGCATGGTATCGTAGGACACAAAGGGACTATGTCTATCACTTATTTTAATGGCTAACAAGGCATTTGTTTAGCACCCAGTGTGGTCCCAGACCGTGAGAAGATATAGGCACTGAAAGAGCATTGGGGGTTTCTTCATTTTTTGAAAAAAAATTTTTTTTTATTGTTTGAAGAATTACAAATAGTAGTCTCCTTTTCCCCCACCTTTGATCTCCCCTCATCCTCCCTTCCCCCCTTCCCCCTGCATATACCTTCACCCCCCCCCCATGTCTTCTATCCATTGGTTATGTTTGTATGCATGCATAAAAGTCCTTTGGTTGATCTCTTACAGCCCCCTGCCTCCAACCTCCCTTGCCTTCCCACTATAGTTTGACAGTCTATTTAATAGTTCTTTATCTTTATAACTACTTTCCCATTTCTTTTTCTTTGAAAAATCATCAAACTGCAGACTAGAAATAATCATATAATAACAAAAAACAAACCCTCACTGCAGACACCCAAGCTCAGAGCCCATCCATTCAAACAGACTTACACGCTCACAAATCACCGCTCTACTCCCCCCAGTGGCCCCTGGGAGCTCCGGAGGTGACAGGGCCTCACGGATTTCCATCACCACGGGAAATGCACGTGCGGATGGAAGAGCCGACCTAGAGGCGGCGATTAACCAGAAACACGCTGCTGTGCGGCCCTGCGTGGGGCCACACTCCGGCCGCTGCCCACCTGTCTCCATCTTGCCGTCCAGCGCGGCGGGCCCGTCCAGGACAAGGCTCTTGATCTGCAGAAACTCGTCAGGCTCGTCCCCGCCGACGACCGTGAAGCCAAAGCCACGGCTGCTTTTCCGCAGCTTCGTGTGAATGAACTTGCCTTTCAGTTCAGAAGGGTTTCGTGTAAAAAAGGGTTTGCCTGGATGAAAAGAAGGAAAGTGAGGGAATGTCAGGAGGAGCGCAAAGGTGAGTGAAACAGCAAATGACACAACTTCTAGGTCATCTCCAGGCCCCTGTGCCGGGAAGGGAAACGCAGGAGAGAGGGGTCCGTCCCCCAACCCAGGGGCAGGGCTGTGGTTCCTGTGGGGTGACAGCAGTCATGTAGTCGCACAGCCACGCAGCCCTTCACAGGAGGCAGAGCGGACTTTGCTTCTTGTCTTGTGTTTTGTTACAAATAATTTTTTTTTAATTTTAAAAATATGTTTTTATTGATTTTTTTTTTTTTTTTTTTTTTTTTAGAGAGAGAGGGAGAGAAAAACATTGATACCGAATTTTTGGACTGGATTGATATCAAATTTTTGGACAGGATTCTTTGTCCGCCAGAATCGAAGAATAGTCTACGGCCATACCACCCTGAACGCGCCCGATCTCGTCAGAATCGAAGAATAAATCCACGGACAGAAAGTGGGATACAAAAGGTGGAGATTTATTGAAGAACAAGTACAGACTCCTAAATGGGGAGAAGAAAAGAGTCCCGCAGAACTGACTCCCATGTAGGGAGGGGGAGAGTCCCCCTTGTTACGAATAATTTGATAAAAAAGTACCATCACTGATTTCAAAGTAAAAAGAGTTATAATTTTACTTTGATTTGAGTTCTAAATTAAACAGATTTTTCCTGTTAATTGGCAACTTTTCACACTTTGTTCTGGACATGACCCCTGCTAAAATCCAGTTTTTTGAAAAAATTTAGGGGTGGGGAGTGAACTCAGTGGCAGAGCATGTGGTTTGCATGTATGAGGCCCAGGCTTGAATCCCTGAATGAGTAAACAAATAAGTTTAGAAGTGGCTTGGAATATTTTTAAAAATGAAACAAAATTGAAAAACCTAAATTAAGCAAAATAGTTACTAAAAGAGCCATATAGCTCCAAATTCAGTTGTCTTTTTTTTTTTTAATTTATTTATTTTTTACAGAGAGGAAGGGAGAGAGGAGAGAAATAGTTAGAAACATTGATCAGCTGCCTCCTGCATGCCCCCCACTGGAGATGTGCCTGTAGCCAAGGTACGTGCCCTTGACCGGAATCGAACCCAGGACCATCCAGTCCTCAGGCTGACGCTCTATCCACTGAGCCAAAACCGGTTTTGGCTCAGTTGTCTGATTTAGAATATATAGATATGTAGCTTAGTAACTTCCAGACATGCTACCTAAGGTTTTACTGAATTTTCTTGATAGCATTCATAAATAACATCTTGTAGAGTAACCAGAAGTTTTGTGTTTCATCAGCTGGGTATTTCACTGTAATTTAATGACTTACTGAAGTTTCTCTGGTTATCCCAAATAGTGGATATAATTCAAGGCTCAGACCCTTCAACTCTCCTAATTGTATTCCCGTCTCCAGTCCTGGCTCCAGCTGCCCCATGTGCCAAAACCAAAACCAAAACCCAACCCAAACCACAACAGGGGGAAGTGTCTCCCTAGACCGGCACGAGAGAGCCTGGTGCCTGGAAGGAAAGCTAGTCTGGGCTAGCTGTATCGAAAAGGCCTTCTTCAAAAGGTCTCTGTGCACACGTACAATTTATAACCGCATTATTTCAAAAGTTCCTGGCTCTTAAGAAGGCTCTTTCAAACTGCCCCGTCACAGGAGCGCTCCTGGACCTCCTCCCTGGAGCCATCCCTGGCTGGCTGGGAGCAGACAGGCCGGCTGTGTCACCACGGCTAATGGAAGGGAAGGCACAGAAGGACTTCCCGTAGCAGGGCTCCCCATGTAAGACCGCCTGCCAGGCCCCCGCAGGAGGTGTCCATGCAGTCAGAGACAACTGCCATGGCAATCGTCAGCTGGGCGCTGAGGACAAGGGAGACCGCCCTGGTGAACAGCGGGCACCCTGGGGGCGGGGGCAGAGGCAGAGGCAGAGGCAGAGGCTGCCAGGGAGCTCAGAGCCCTTAGAGCAGCTGTTCTCAACCTGTGGGTCTCGACCCCTTTGGGGTCGAACGACCCTTTCACAGGGGTCGCCTAGGACATCCTGCATATCAGATATTTACGTTATGATGCATAACAGGAGCACAATTACAGTTATAAAGTAGCAACGGAAATAATTTTATGGTTGGGGGTCACCACCACATGAGGAGCTGTATTAAAGGGCCGCAGCATCAGGAAGGTGAGAACCACTCAAAGCTGAAAGGGGATGCCCTGCAGGGACCCCAGGGGCCGCCCCTCCTCAGGGTGGCTTCCTGACCTCCTTGGGAGAAAGGGCAGGACCTCCCCCCACATCCCAACCCCTTCCCAGCTTCATTGTTTTTGTTAGTCCTCACCAGAGGCTATATTTCTCCACTGATTTTCAGAGAGAGTGGAAGGAGGGGGAGAGACAGAGAGAAACATCAATGTGAGAGACACATCGGCTGGTTGCCTCCTGCATATGCCTGACCAGGACCGAGGATTGAGCCTGCAACGGAGGTATGTGCCCTTGACAGAATCAAACCCAACACCCTTCAGTCTGCACGCCAACGCTCTAACCTCTGAGCAACAAGGGCCAGCTCTGCCCAACTGTCTCCCTGTCACTACTGATTGTGTGCTTTGGCTCACTATCCCCAACCCACATGGGGGGCAGTGCAGGCCACACACACAGCCAGCAGGCAGCGGTGAGCCCTGTGAGCCTCTGCTTGCACACCCGGTGTGTAGCACCCGCCCCTCTCATTCACCTGCTCCGAACACAGGCTCAGCGAGTGAGGGGCTGAGTGAACAGCTCAAAGAAATGAGACTGAACTGTCTTTCAGAAGGCAGAAGGTGGTCCCAGCGGGTGTTCAAGCTTTTTACCCTTATTATAGGTGCAGTGACAAATGTGAACCTGTGTTTGTCTGAATGAGTTTTTTAAGCTGTCAGCATATTTTGAGCTTAAAATAAATCCAACGTAATGCAGCCCAAGCAGAGCACTGTCTTCCTTTTCCAAGGCGCACCCCAGGAGGCAAACCGGAGGGCTTCCCATTCACCCCTTTCATTGTGTTTGCACGAGATGGTCATCAGTTAGTGGGGCTTTGGGAAGAAACGCCTTTCTACCCACAGCTGTGGGCTGAGGCTCTGCTCAGCCCGTGCACACGCCACTCTCTGCCCACAGCTGTGGGCTGGGGCTCTGCTCAGTCTGTGCACACATCTCTCTCTTCCCATGGCTGTGGGGTTGGGGGTCTGCTCAGCCAGTGCACACACCTCTCTCTACCCACGGCTGTGGGGTTGGGGGTCTGCTCAGCCAGTGCACACACCTCTCTCTACCCACGGCTGTGGGTCTGGGGCTCTGCTCAGTCTGTGCACACATCTCTCTCTTCCCATGGCTGTGGGGTTGGGGGTCTGCTCAGCCAGTGCACACACCTCTCTCTACCCACGGCTGTGGGGTTGGGGGTCTGCTCAGCCCGTGCACACGCCACTCTCTGCCCACAGCTGTGGGCTGGGGCTCTGCTCAGTCTGTGCACACATCTCTCTCTTCCCATGGCTGTGGGGTTGGGGGTCTGCTCAGCCAGTGCACACACCTCTCTCTATCCACGGCTGTGGGGTTGGGGGTCTGATCAGCCAGTGCACACACCTCTCTCTACCCACGACTGTGGGTCTGGGGCTCTGCTCAGCCGGTGCACACGCCACTCTCTCAGAGAGCCTGGTCTCCCGACAGGTCCAGTGGTGCTGTCTGTGGCGGAAGGGCATCACCTGGGTCGCTTTGGGAAGCAACTAAGTTTAGGGCCTGCCCTAGACTCACTGAACCTGGACCTTTGGGGTCTTGGCCCCAAATCCACTTCTGAACAACCCTGAAAAGCCTGCTTCCCTGTCAGGCCGGGACTGCTCCGGGCACTACTGTGAAAAGGCACAGACCACTGCTCCCCACACTGTCTGCGATGATGGTGTAACGAAGAGGCTCAGCATGGAGCTGAGAAGCAGAGGGCAGTGGGAATTATGAGGGCCTCAGGGAGAGTGCAGTGAGCTCTCCCACATTCCACACCAATGGGGGGCCAGAGACTCAAAGGAGAAAATGAAGAGGCCTAGAAATGAGCAGGAAGCTCCTAGCACAGATCAATACCTCTGACCTGCATCAGCCGGGCACTGAGGTTTTGGTACCAGCACTTGACCTGTTCAAGTGTTCACTGACTTCATCTCTAAGACGATTCTGTAAGCAGCTGTATATGCATGCATGTATGTATGTTTATACACATGTATTTTCTTTCACTCCACAATATCAAGCATTTTAGCAGATGCTTGATACCCAAGAAATGCTGCCTGGTTTGGGGGGCCCTATTGCGAGAAGGCAGCCTCCAGCTTCTGCAATTTAAAGTCTAAAGAAGAAACAACCGTTAAGCAGCTGGACACACAGAAACACTAATTACAACTTTTAGGTTCTGAAAATAAGAAGCCTTAGATGGAAAGAGTGAATGTAACAGGGGGATCTAGCCACAGCCTGATATGAGTAGAAGTTAACATAACAAACGCTGGAGGGAAAAGACCGCTGCAGAGGGAACAGCATATGCAAAGGCCAATTTGACACAGTCCAAGTTTCGCTGGTTTTAAGGAACAGAAAAGAGGTTCAAAATACGTAAAAGTTAGGGTAGCTGACTTACCAAGAGAGGGGAAATATGATGACATGAGCTGCTGAAGGAGTATTATGTTTAAAAAATATGAAGGAGGCACAAGTATGTTGATATTAATTAGTGCTATTATCTATGTGCTATCTTTATTAAAGCCATTATCATTCTAAAATGTACACCAAGGCAGCAGACGTTATTTTACATAAATTGATATTAATACTAATCTCATGACAATATCAGCTAGCAGGGAAACAATTTCTTTCTTATGAAAATTATAATGGAGGAATCAAAATCATAGAAAATAATTATTCTACTTATCTATTTATATCTCTTTTAAAATGGAGAGAACAAATTTTATAGTCTTTTTAACAGTTCTGTGCTACAAACATCCCCTAACTCTACCAAATATGCTACTCTTATTTTTCTTATTTAAAAGGAAAAAAAAAAAAACTAAACCAACAAACAAACCCAAAAACCTTTTCTATCGTTTAAGGGTTATGAGGCCTGAAGTAGCAAGATTCTGGAGCTTTCAATTTTCAGAAGGAACCTCTCCAGGGGGCTCAAACTTTCTGTGAATGCAAACAAGTGAGGCCCAACGTGAAGATGTAAAATGTGGGTAAATGCCAGAATAGCAGCCAAATCAGAGACGAGAATTTAAAACAACATGTCCCACTGTTTTACATTTGCAGGAAAATTTTAGTTAAAACCAAATATGGCTGACTAGAATCTTGAAATATCTAATGCTCAGTTTTCAAGTTATGTAACACAATTGCTAAATATCTGTGGTCTCCAAATCCCAGCGGTTCAGGGCCCTGGAGTGGTTTTGCCTCTCCCCTCCCCGCCCCAGCAGGGACCTTTGGTGCAGCAGCAGGAGGCTGCTACCGGCTCACCCTGCCGTGCACAGGGCTGCCCGCAGCACAGAGGTCTCTGCCCCCCACGGCCCCGGCGCTGAGGCCGAGGAAACCTGGTTTAAGTGACCTCTGATGACAAGGAGTGGTCTCTTTCAGAATGTTACAAAGAGCTGAAATTCGCACAAAAACGTTTTTAGTATTTTTGACACTTCTGATCACTGATACATTTAGAATTTTAATCATGATTTTTACTATCAAAGGAATGAGTTGGGAGTTAAAAAAGTCCACTTCTTAAAGTAACTTTTTAAAAAAATCAGGTTTTTGAGCTAAAGCAATGGTGCAATGACATAAAGCCTTACCCTGAAGGGGGGTGTCTCGGGCCGGCTCCGGGTTGCTTGGGGGGTGGCTGGGAATAGCAGGAGGCACGAGCGATGACCGGTCTTCTGTCCATTCTGCAAGAAAGGGAACCCATTGCTCACTTAGGACTCAGCTGCTTCTTAATATAAAGCCACTCAAACCAATAAAATGCAGGCCAAGATTTAAAAAAAAGTATTGCCGAGACTGGTTTGCTCAGTGGATAGAGCGTTGGCCTGCGGACTGAAAGGTCCTGGGTTTGATTCCAGTCAGGGGCATGTACCTTGGTTGCAGGCACACCCCTAGCGGGTGGTATGCAGGAGGCAGCTCATTGATGTTTCTCTCTCATCTATGTTTCTAATTCTCTATAAAAAAATTAATAAAATATTAGAAAAAAGGTATTTGATTACACTCTCTATTAATACCACCAAGATACCTCTCCCTCTGTCTCTCTCTTTCCTAAGACCTTTGGGGATAGAAATATTGTGGTATAACCAATAAATCCCCAAATCTCCAGTTCTCTCTGGCTGGAGAGTCCAAAGGGAGACCAAGCAAAACACGTCAGGAAAGACACAAAACGAAGGGAACTCAGCCAGCCCAATGGACAGAGGCATGGCGCGGGAGCTGCTCAGCCAGCTTGTCTCGGGAGGGAAGGGGTTGCAGCAGTTGGCTGAGGTGCTGTCTCTTGTATCTCTGAACTGGAAATCCTCCTGGGTCCTAACTCTAGTCCTATTGCCCCTGGAGGCTCAGGGATAACTCAGTGAGTGCCCCTGACATTTGCCTAGATTCCCTCCAGCTCGGCTCACACACTCAAGTGTACACTCCCATTCCCCAAACTGCACCAACACTACCAAGCTTCACCCGCTCAGGGAAAAGGTTCAAAAAGATTCTGTTTAGATGGAAAAGGAACTGAGGGAGAAAGGAGAACTTTTCAGTAGATGAGCTCTCTTCTCTCTCTTTCTCTCATACAGTCTATGGAAGTAGTCAGCAAATTATGGCCAAAAGGCCAAATTGGGCCCAGTGCCTGTCTTTATACAACTTGTGAGTTAAAAATGGCTTTTACAGATTTAAATGGTTGAAACAAACTCCTTCAATAAATGCCAAGAGTTAGGCCCTGTTTTCATTTACATTTTATGGAGAAGAGATGTCATGACATGAAAATCACCTGACGTTTAAATTCCAGCCCGCATGGATGCTTCACGGGAACAGGCACGCCCACTTGCTCACACATGTGGATCCTGTCTCACAAACTCCACACAGAGTGTGTGGCTGCAGTAGAGACTGCGTGAACCAGAGCTCACATTTACCATATGCCCATTTTCAGAAAAAGTGTGCCAGTTGCCACCCTATGATCTATATTTACTATGTACAGTGTTATAATAAGAGAAGTGTTATATTTGACATTCATATATTTGATATTCACATGTTACAGTGAGGGTGCATTAAAGTCTATTATTTTAAGAGTCTAATGAAAACCTGGGAAAAGCCTAAGCATCTATTAATAAGCAGGTGACTAAATGAAATAAAATAGAATATAAAATTAATATTTATAAAATAGAATATAAAAATTACAAGATAAATCTCTATTAACCAGCTTTAAAATATATTTAAGAAGAAATATATTTAAGCCTGGCCAGTGTGGCTAAGTGATTGATTGTTGACTTATAAACCAGGAGGTCATGGTTCAGTTCCTGGTCAGGGCACATGGACAGGTTGCAGGCTCAATCCCTAGGAGGGGGCGTGCAGGAGGCAGTTGATCAATGATTTTCTCTTATCATTGATATCTCTCTCTCCCATTCTCTCTGAAATCAATAAAAAACATATTAAATTTAAACATATACGTAAGCTGCAGTCTATGTTAAAATATGCATCTTTGTACATCCCAATAAACTTCTGTGCAGCACTTATTGCTGAGCATGGGTTAGGAGTGAGCAGGAGAGAATTTAATGCTCCATACTGCTGAATTGTTCATAATTTTCCAAAGAGCGTGAATTGACTTGTGATTTTGAAAAGCTCCAAGCCCTAGCTGACTTGGCTCAGTGGATAGAGCATCAGCCTGCAGACTGAAGCATCCTGGGTTTGATTCCAGTCAGGGCACATGCCCAGATTGTGGGCTCCATCCCAGTAGGGGCTGTGCAGGAGGCAGCCAACCAATGATTCTCTCTCATGATTGATGTTTCTCTCTCTCTTTCCCTCTTCCTTCCTCTCTGAAATAAAATAAAAATATATTAAAAAATAAATAAATAAAAAGCTCTCAAACCCTCAGCTCCAGTCTAAGGGCAGCAGCTCCTTTCAAATTAAGAGCAATCGGTGCCTCGGAATTGGGCCCCCCTCCTGGGGCCCAGGGCAGGGAACTCTGGCAGGTCGGTATTGCTCCGGGGACATCACGTCCTCAGGGGGAAAGACCTGGTCCCCAGGCCAGTCCTGACCACGGGGTGTCGGCGCCCAGGCTCTGCCCTGCGCTCCTGGACCACACACAGAGAGAGCCAACCTTCCGATGGCGGCTGCGGCTGTGGCTGCGGCGGCGGCTGCTCCAGCTGCTTCTTCCGTTTGGCTTCCAGAACTGGGTTCTCATACTGTGTCTTCCTGTTGATGTGGCTGGAGCAGAAGCAGAGAGCACACAGTTAGGAAACATGTCATCTCCTAAGTCCAATGCCCGTTGGGCCAAGTCCCGTGATTAGAACTGAGCTGAGCAGGTGCCAGAGGCGCTGAGCACATGCAGGCAGGTAGGAGGAGGAAGGAAAAGGCTCGGTGCTGACTGCTGTACGTACCCCGCATCGTGCTGTGAGATTTACGTGCATTGTATTTTACAATCTTCAATAAATGCCAGGAGTTAGGCCCTGTTTTTATTTATATTTTATGGATTAAAAACAGTGAATTTCTGAGCAATTAAGCAACAGCTCTCCTAACATAACACAGCTAGTGAAGAGGCTGCTTCCAAACCCCAGACTCTCAAGTGTTCAAGGAATCACCTGCCAGGTGAATTGCTTTAATTCAACAAGAAACAGATTACAGAAGTATTAAACAATGAGATTAAAATGGAGGTGTGGCGATGTCTGTAACATATAATGCCAGAACTGCCGTGTGGCTGTCCATGATAGAGTTTTCCCTAATGATAGAGTTAAAAGGACTCTACCAATATCTGTCAACTATTTGCAACAACAGACATGGAGTCAGGATTAATAGGCCAAAATGCTAAGTCAGAGAGACTCCAAAGGCAGCTAACATAAACCAATGGGATGTGTTCAAAGTGACAAAGACCCAGATGGTCCCAAAACTAATAAGGCCATGACAAGACACACATACATACACATGTACATATACATACATATGAATACACATGTTGTTGGTTTTTTTTTGCCATGGTCTTATTTAGTATCTGCCTATGTATATACACACATTCTATAATTACACAGAAGCATAAACATATTCAGGTTTTTTCTTTCTTCATCAAAATCACACTTCACTAGAAGTTTTGGAACATATTGATCATATGATTATTTAGAATCAACATTCTTTTTAAAGCCAGGATTTCTTTTTCAAAGGCAGGCTTGTCAAATAGGGTAGACAGACTAATTCCCCTTCATTTTTATTGTAGGACTGCTTGTTTATTTCCTAATCCCTGTAGGCAATTTCATGCTACGATAAGAGTCTAACATTAATGGGCGTTGGATCTGAGACGACACCAGGAGGGAAACTGCACAGTGAGAGAACAAACTGCCGCTCCACCACGCCGCTGCACCCAAGCTGCGGTACCTGCTCCTTTTAAGAGGGAGAACTCGACACACGCCCACACAGGCAATCCCCCACTGCACACGTGCGAGAAAGACAATCTGCCGGGCACATGGGGGAATGTTGTTTTGTGAAGGTCAGAGATTTTCCTTTCTGAGGCCCCAGTCACTCATCCCCTTGTGAGGAAAAGAGGTGGCGATAGGATTAAGGCCCACGGACACTTGCTCTACTGAACTCAGGATTCTTCACAGTAAAGTGCAGCGCAGTTTATGATTCGGCATGGTTGCCTCATGTCTTATCACCAGGTTTTACCCTCCTCGCGGCAGCAGGAGGGACAGAGCTTGCCAGCTGTCCTGGTTGAGGAAGGGAGAATTATGATAGAACATTCATATGGTGTTTGTTTCTTTCAAAGGATCTTTTATTAGTTATTTCTCATCTTTCTCATAGAAAATGACATCAAGCATATTTATTCTATGTTTCATCACTTGGGTTTCTTTTCCTTTCTTGGGTGTCATCCTACTGGTTGATGGGTTTGATGGGAAGGCGAGAGCATGCCCGCTGCTAGAGAATGGCGCACAGTAACGAGGTTGCGGTGAGGGCGGGAGCTCTTAGAAACCAGGAGCCACTCGAGTGGTCCTCAGGCCAGGGAGAGGCACAGAGGCACCAGGAGCTTGCAGGTTAGGCTAGTTCTGAATTCCTTCTTAATGTTGGCAACATTTCCTATAATACATTATTAAGACTTGTCTGACCCTTTTAGAAAGTCTGAATGAATTAGCAAGTAATTACTGAGCAGTTCAGACTTGGGCAGGGCCAAAAGTGGGAAAACAGGTCCTCCTCCTGAAAGAGGGACCTCCTCACTTGGTCTAGTGAATGGTTACTTGCCTGAGATTCATTCATTCATTCATTCACTCACTCAAGTAATACTAAGTGCCTACCCTATACCAGGCTGCTGGGCCTTGGCTGTGTAGTGGCAAACAAAAGACACAGCGTTGGCCCTCATGACCTTTATAATATAGAATCAAAATTCTTTTTAATTTTATTTATTTCCAAATCCCTGTAGGCAATTTCATGCTAAGATAAGAGTCTAACATAACTAGAGGCCTGGTGCATGGAATTCGTGCACAGGGTGGGGGTCCACTCAGCCCAGCCTGTACCCTCTCCAATCCCGGGACCACTGGCTCCTAACTGCTCACCTGCCTGCCTGCTTGCCTAATCCCCCCCCGCCACTCGCCAGTCTGATTACCCCTAATCTTCTCTGTCTGCTGACCTGATTGCCCCTAAATGCCCCCCCTGCCGGCCTGGTCACCCAACAACCCCCACCCGTGCTGGCCGGGTTGCCCCTTATTGTCCCCCTTGCAGGCCTGGTCACCCCTAACTGCCTCCTGACAGCCTGGTCGTCCCCAATTGGCCCCCCGCAGGCCTGGTTGCCCCCAACTGCTCCCCTTGCTGGCCTGGTCACCCACACAGCCTGCTGTTCAGTTGTCTGATCGTCCCTCACCCCCCTCCTGGCTTTGTCGCCCCAGGAAGCCTGCTGGTCATTACTGTTACTGTGACAGTGTCCCAGACAATTTGTGTATTCCTCTATTATTAGTATAGATTTGTTGTCTTCAGATTTGATGAATACTCACTCATTCATTAAAATAGACATATAATTTCACTATAAAATTATGTTGTTATCATTATTTAGTTTATACCATATAATGATGGCAAACTCTGCTCAGCATAAATGTATGTGATGACAGAGGGTAAAAGCTACAGGGTGGATTAGTGGACACTTACTCTACATAGTAGATACCATAGACAGGATCTTCAATCTTTTCCCAACCGGCAGGCAGCTCTGAAAAATAAAAGGACATTTAGAGAGAGAAGAGCATACTCTTAAAGAGCCTAGGGATTTTCAACAAGTTAGGCAAAAAGAAGTTCATAAAAAAAATGCCTTAAGGGCAATTAAAACTGTGTATCTTAAAAGAAAAGCCAGTATTATTTTTATTTTATCAGTGTATTTTTTTTCTGCACAAAGAACAATTATTTACTGGCATTATGCACAAGCAAATGAAATGTAATAAAATGCAGTCCCGGGTGCCTTCATTCTAAACCAACTATTAAATCAGGCTTTAATAAAAATGTAGTTAGAATCTGCCCAGCTCCTATCTTAAATATTTACATTTTTCTTGTTTTATTTCTAGACTACCTTAACACAAAAGCGAAATTAGATTTAGAAAAAGTGTTATTTTCATCGTGCTGTTTTTCACTCCCTGGATTAAGGTAAGATGCACATCTTGTTTTCACTCTGTTCCTAATAAAAAGGCTACCAAACGGACACGCCCGCAGTGAGTTGTGTTTCTGAAATGCACGCGCCCATCCCTCACCGCTCTACCTGGACCGGTTTACCTTCACCAGCAGTTTGCCCACAAAAGCAGAAACACAGGCCTCACCAGCCTACATTTCCTTCCAATGTGGCCATCAATGGCATCGGGGGGCCCGCACACAGGGGTGGGCAAAAGTAGGCTTACAGGTGGTCCCCGTGGAAATGGACACGCAGGTTATGGCTATTACTATAGCTTCATTACGTCAAAACAATGTTTTGTGCAGCTGTGTGCCCACTGTGCCCACCCCTGTGTGCCTTTCGGAAAATTCGACTGGGGTCTGCTGGACTTGACTTGGTAAGGTCTCATATCAAAGGCTGCCCCTTTATTCAGGAGGTCACAGCGAGTGCTGCTACAACAATCCAGTGCGAGAAAGCCAGATAAGCACCAGATAAGCTGACCTGGGGACAAAAGCAACTGGGTTGTGTTTTGTGTCATTAAACAATGTCTAGGCAGAGAACAATTGCTCTACTTAATTTGAAAGCACCTGATACATACATGGGTACACAGCGGAGGCAAGGTTGTATAATACAGGGCTCCAAAGTGAGTCAGCATTCCCAGAAGCAGCCATTAAATAAACCAACTTAAGTGGAATTTACGAAAACCCTGAAAATATTTTGAAATGCCAGATTTTTTTAAATTAATGGAATCACGTGACCATGACTTTTAAATAGTAACCGTTGTATCAGGGCTTACATATGCCACTGACAGTTCCATGCTGGAGTGCACTCAAACACACAGGTAAATTGCCTCAAGTCCACGTTTTCCTCAAATATGGCTGCACATCAAGACACATTAATTTCATGGTTTTTGCTCCACAGTATGTTTGCGAACAAAAAGACAAGGTTCTCCTTTCCCCATGCCCTTTCTTCTAACTTAAACACATCCACACTGAGCAGGTTTTAAAGAAGTCTTTGAATTCCTTTAAAAAATTCCAAGATGTAAGCTACTAAAAGGCTAGAGGTCCAATTTGCAGATGTTGATAAAACTTGGCATTTTTTTATATGCAGAGTCTTGCGGACTCATGCAAATCACATCTGGGGAAGTGGTTTCCTCTTACAAAACTGGAAATTACCATTTAAATGAAAAAGAACCAGGAAGATATTTCCAAGGAGTTGGGAAATCAAAGATTAAAAAAATGCAAATTGGTGCACAGTCCTGTATTTGTTCAGGCCCGGGGCAGGGAGCTGGGGAGTGGGAGAGGGCTGCATTATGTTTAATGAGCCAAATTTCTTTCCAGAACCTGCAACCTTAAATATTTGACCCTATTATCTTCAGATAAAACAGAGAAAACATTAAGAATTCAATTCATCCCATCCTTAACTTCTCAAACATTTAGTGGGTGTCTGCTGTCAGCCTGCGAGTGTGCTAGGCACCTGGACACAGGTCACTACGAGTGCCCCAGCTGAGCGGACAGCTCAAACACTGCAGGTCAGCGCTCTGCTGGGGGTGGGAGGGTTCAAGGAAAGGGTCACTCTGCCTGCCTAGCTGTCCAGTCAACAGAGAATGAGGTCTCTCCACTAGGGCTTCTGGACACTTGCAAATCTAGACACAGCTTCTGGGAGAGATTAGCAAACCCTAAAAATGTTCTAGTTTTTCAAGTAAAATCCATTTAAATTAGAAAAGATAGATTTTGATTACTCACTTCCAAAGTGGTGATTAGTTTAATAATAGGAATTAGTTCCTCCTACTGCTTAAAATAGAAATGGGTCATCGATTTATAAAAGGAGGATGTTTGTCTTCAAAGTTGCCAATTTGGTTCTAAAAAACTGAAAATAGCATAAAATACTGAAGTTCAGGAAAAAAAAAAAAAAAAGGCATCGCCAGACCAGACTGCACGGCCTAGGCCGAGATTTCAAGCCCCGGGACCCACTGGGGGATCCCAGCCCTGGGTGAACCCTGCTCCCCCGCGGACAGCTGGACCTGGTCTAGTTATTCCACATCCTGGGAGCAGATTTTCCTCCTGGATGGACCTCAGAGGCCTTGGCAGATTAAACGAGGGTGTTTGTAAAATCACTCCACACAGCACCGCCTGGCACTCGAGGAATGGCCAGCTTGTATGGCCGGCCTGCTTGCTTGCTGCTCCGCCTCTGAAGACCTCACGTTGTTCTAACTGCCACCACAGGAGCAAATATGGAGCAGTGGAATGTCCTAAGTTCTTCACTAAGGGATTCGTCAGCACAGATAGAAAATCATGCTCATCCTCAGAGGTGCATTCCAAAGCTGCAACTTGGTTCGGGTTGGAGGAGCCTTCTCTCTCCTCTCCTAGTTGCTCTCAGCACGAGAATACCCTGTGATTCCAAAACGTCTGCAAGTGCTTTTCAATTCTGGGGAGACGTTATCGCAGAGGACGTGCCCCATTCTGCAAACCGAACGAGCGTAATGAAGCCGATGACCCAATCACACAACACAGTTCAGAGATGACAACTCCATCATCAAAGGATCTGTGTCTGGCCCATGCCAGCAGCCCCACCCCAGGGGCAGATTTCAGAGGGGTGTCCTGGTCGCCTCTGGAATTGCACTGTTCACTGGAAACATGGCAATTGCTATTGTTTAAGATTAGGCTCCTCTTGTTTAAAAAATGGTCAGTGGCTTGCCAATAGAATCTGGAGTGAATGCAAAGAAAACCGTGTGTGTGTATGTGTGTGGTGTGTGTGTGTGTGTGTGTACGTGGATGTACACCGTTCTGTGTGGGGAACACATACAGGCAAAAATCAGGAGCCCTGTTCCGGTTACACCTTCAAAGGCCTTTTCTGTAATGTATATGTTCCTCTCCTGTTCCACATTAAAGGCAAAAGGTACCAGAAGGAAGTGCTGAAAAGTCCATAAGAGGGACTTAGGTAATAAATAATAAAACTGGCAAAACCAACATGAGCTGATCCCAGGGTAAATAATAAGTAAGACACATTCTCATTAAGTCTCCCCACCAAGCATCCGAGAGCAGCTCTGCCAGCCCCTGCACAGAGCACGGAAGGAAAGGGAAGCTGAGAGAAGGCGAATGACTTGCCCGAGGCCATAATGCCAGTAAGTGGGCAATTAGAGGTCAGGCAGCATGATCTGACCGGAGACAGTGCCTCCACTTCCAAACCACCACCCAGGATCGTGGCCAGGACCAAGAGAAGGAACACCATGCAGCCGCTAAAACTGCTGTTAAGAGTCTGTGGCCGGAGAGGGAAATTCCCACCCTGTTACAATTATGTGGGAAAAAAAGACGGCTTTCCTAAAAATGCCCACGTTCGAACTTGCAGAGAAGCAAATCAATGTGTGCCCTGCACTTGGCCGTATCATGTCCACCAGTTACGCACAGACAGTGGCCACTCACACCCATTAGCTGGGCAGCAAGAGTGGTTGGCATTGGTTTAACAAGTGACTAGGGCACTCATTTTATGTCCAGAAAACCTAGTCCTGCCTCTTTCAATTACTTTATCTAACACCATGGGACTGATAAATTTAAAAAAAAAAAAGTTTTTAAAATTGTTCTATTATACAGGTAGAATCTCAAGTTATTCCTACCACCATGACCACAAAGGAAACTTATTAATCACGTTGAAAATAGATCTATAAGTGGTTATCAACCATCACTAGCATACCCATCAATTACAAGAAGATATTTCAAACATTAAGAAAAACAGAGCTAAGTCCGAGTATATTATAACTCCAGTCTTCATCTATCTATCACACAAAATCAAATAAAAATAATATTCTGTAGGAAATATTCATTATTTCCAGTTAAGGCAATCTTTAAATGCTGGTTCAGTTATCTCAGTAAAGTTCCTTTCTCATTGATGTTAAACAATTTTCCATTTAAAAAATATACTATGGTCAATTCTCAATCAGACAAGGCTTCTGGTGCAATTTAGCCAAACTGGAGCTTTGCTGTCCATCCTTCTGTGCAGGGAGCAGATGGAACGCAAACTGATGTGAACAACACTGAACAGGTAACTGAGCAGGGAACAGCATTCATACAGCCCGACAGCAAAGGAGGATAACAGTGTTTGGCGTTTTCTGCTAATGAGAATAATTTCTAAATTATCACAGGTAGGATAGTCAAGACCTGATTTACACAGATACATACACCCCAAGGAAAGGGTCCCCGTTCACCGCAGGCACAAACGTGTGGCCAATGACTTAATAACAACACATTACTGATGACAGTAACTCTTCAGCTAATAATCACTGTAATTACTGTATTAGTGTTGCTCTTGTAATGATCCTTGACTTAGTCTGATAGGTTTTTATTTGTTTTGCTGTGCTGTTTTGTATTATTCACACCAAACAAATAAAAAATCAGGCTGAGAAAGTTCAAGGGGCGTGGCAAGCCTCTATCCCTCTGATTTTCTTAATCCTCAGGCACAAGCATCCCGGCACAAGCATCCCAGTAGTTTTCTTCCCTCGGACTTCCTCTGTAGACAGAACTTATTACAGAGCCCCTGATGTGCAGTCACACGTGTGGGCTGTGAGACTGACCCCTGGTGGGTGAGCTGGAATGAACATCCTAGTTGATGATGCAAAGGAAAGAACCCGGGCCTTAAGCAATTCCCTGGCGACAAAACCATGGCGTGAGGCATGCAGCAGCCGCCGCTGCGGTTTACCTAGTTCACTGTCCAGCTCCTCCGTGTGGACCCCTTCTTCTCCAGAGGAAGAGCAGGAATGAGACAGAAAAGAGAAAACATTCAGACACCAGCGCCAAGGAAGAAACTCCCCTCAGAGAAACGGCAGCAAACACATTACGTGACTCAGTCCTTACCTGCATGGTGGCTAAAGACCTGGAGCCCTCAGGGTAAATCACCCAACGGCAATTGCTGATACTGAACATAATTACGTGGCTCATTTCCTGGCATTGAAAAGTGGAGCTTGATTGGTTGTCAAAGATGAAAATGGCTCTGTGGTTTCAATGCTCTTAAGCGAAAAGTCACTTACTACTGACCAACTATGCTGCTAGGCCTTTCCATGGGAGTCCTTAACCTTTCAGCAACCCTCCCAGCAGCCAGGCAGCCACACGCACACTGCAGCATCACTCAACTTCCCAGCGACACCGCTGCTGACAGGCGGGGCTGCACACGGAGCATGCAGACAGACGGACCAGGGGTTAGAAAGATGGGTTAAGTCACGGTGATGCACACTGGAAAGCAAAGCCTGAAGGCTGCCCTGAAGGAGGCCGTTTATTTCACATGAATTTTCAAAGTCAAAGAGTTCAGAAGTATTAGAACGAAAATGTTCCTGATAATTTCTGTGAGCAAAGCAAGTGAGGGTGCTTTCCATCCTTGGATGCCCCTCCCCCCCTCTTGCTGTCAGCCAAACACTTTATTGCCTGCGGTTAGGACACAGGACAACACACACATTTCATACGTAAAGTCCCTCCGGCGCCCCAGTAGGGGGCTGTCCCTCCACAGTGAGCCCCCCAACCAGGACCATGCTGCTTACACGGATGCAATGGGCTCAGTGCCCAGTGTGGTTTAGGTTCATGACAGGGAATAAATATTTCTCAAATCGATTACTGACTTAGAACCAACATGGCCCTAAGCACCTCATACCCTTTTTATTTAAAGACTATACAACTGCCAACAGTACGTTTTGATGCTGGCATTGTTTCTCAAAGAGGGAATATGATTTACACAAACCTTTCATGAGAATGCCCATTTGGATATTGTTTAATAATGTCTTTGGGGCATTCATTTATTGCTTCAATAATTATTGAATGGGAATGACTCTGCCAGGTGACGGAGGTGGCAAAGCGAGCAAATCACCTCCATCCTTCTGGAGGGGGAGACAAGTCCAAGCTCATCAAATAAAAGTGAAAGGGAAACTGGGTAAGTCCTCTAGGTAAGACACATAACAAAGCGACTTACTCTCATCTGGGAATGGATTCTGAGCTATAATCTGGAGGATGCACAACATTTAACAAAAAAGACTTAAGAGTGAAAAGTGACTAGAATTTAAGTTCTCCAAGAGCAGGACTTTTTGTTTATTGCATTCATTGATCCACCTGAAGTTCCCAGAATGCACCTGACTGATAGAGGCACTCAATGGACAGATGTGAAATGTCAGAGTATTCTGTGAGGAAACTGCACATCTAACCAGCATGCAGCATGTCCACGAAGACTCGGAAGAAACACAGAAACAATATTGTGACCGACAATGTTATTCTGCTTTGTGTTAGGACATACACGGTACAAGGCGGCGTGGTGTTACCCGGCAGCAGACAATGCAGGGATAGGAACCTATATTAGTTGCGGTGCTTAATCTGGTTATATATCTATACTGTTAGTGTACATAGGAGCATAGGCATACATGCAATTTCTGCTAGAAAAAGAATATGTGAATTCAAGTGTTGAGGGATAATTACTAAACTAAGTGCTTTTGGTCTGAATATATACTCCAAAGGAAGTAACATTACTACCAAGGATAAGAAACCTGAGAATTAAAACTTACCTGACTTGGTAACAAAACCATTCAGTAATTCTAGTCAATACTTTTACTGCATTAACAGTTTTTTCTCAATAAAAACTATTGGCATTCTTTACCACCTCTGAATTTATGTTCTCAGACATTTCACACATTCCCAGTATGACTGTGATGGAGACTGACATGGAAGACCCTATAGTAATACCAGCGCCTGAAGTGCCTTCAGAATCACCAGGCTTCAAATAAAGTTTAAATTTATTCCATGACATTTTATGGTTGAATGTATATGTCCTGATCTTTGAAAATCCATCACCTCCGTATTACATGTCACACTGAACGTGTGAATAGTCAGGACAGTCCATTAGCCCTTACACTGCAAAATATTGCAGCGACCACACCTGCTCCATTCCTTCTTCAGGAACGGACTGAGCAACCAAATAAAACGGGCATCTCCATCATGCCTTCTCAGTCAAAGGACCCGTATTTCTACACGAAGCCAATCAGAGAAAGATGAACGTGTAAATCTACGTTCATGCTGTGTCACCTGCAGCCTGTGTGCAGTGAAGTGTCCTGGAGTACAATGCTAGTCTGATAGGTTATACTTCACTGCTTACCTTTTCAAACACACGTATTCTATGTAACAGTTCTGCCTCACAGCACACGTTAATAAAGGTTCACTATCTTACAGCAAAATAATTCTACTAATTCAACAATTACACGAATTCAAATGCCAGAAATGAATATTGAATAGCAAAGCAAACCCTTTCCCTTTAAATTCGTCCATGCCAAGGAGGAATTTTGGTAGAGCTGGTGTATTGAAAAGAAACATGCTTGTTCTGTCTTAACTTTTTTCATTTTGGAAAAGTAGTTAGAAATCTCATAGCCTAGAAATAGACTTTTTAAAACAGTAACCTTATTACCAGTTGATTCTTTGTTGAGATATCGAGGAGAGTGGGCTAAGGTAACACCTCAGCCTCTTTCTTGGAAAAATACACTTTTAGGTACTTAGGATATATTCTAAGTTACACAGAGATTCCCAAATGGGTCAAGATCTGCTTTTCTGACACCAAAATATGGGGAAATAATAGTCATAAAACACAGTTTAAGAAAAGCTACTGATTCCCCCTTTACCCCTAAGAATTTCATAATATGGGATTAGGGTTCAATAGGCAATTCTCTATTCTTTCTAGAGTTTTCTCCAAGCTCCCGGAGGCAGAGGTTGTATCTTCATTTGAATGCTGCCTGTGGTTCCCAATAGTAGCAGAGCTGCGCCTCTGCCTTCATGTGTACACAAGCCATTCTTTTGAACAAGTCTACTGACTTCCCTTCTGCTTTTGGAGACCTGAGTACACTTACTGGAAACTGGATTCCCTTTTGAAAACTCCCTGTGAAAACTGGTTGACTTTGCCACAACCCTCTAAAATGTGAACAAACAAGGCACTCATTTAAATGGAGAGCGGCCACACCCCTTACCATCATCCTCACACTCTTCCAGAGGCTTCTGCTGCTTGTTCAGGCACCGAGGGTCTAACCAAGACGTTGTTTTTGTGTTATGGCTGAAATCCAGAAATAAAAACAAGAAATGGATTAAAAAAGGAAAAGCAAAGAGCTCAGTGACAAAACAATTTTACATCCTTGAATAGTGGCTGCTCTTCAACTACAGACTCTGTGACAAGCAAACCCAGACCAGCGAGCCCCCTGGGAATTAGGAGGTGCCAGAGGGAAAGACTCTGGAGGGCTTTTTACTCAACGAAAGATATAGTCATCCCAGAATTGAGAGCTGTAGAGGTAATCCCAGTTTTATTTTTGAGAAACGAGTTCAAATCATACCCCTCGTCTATACTATCCGAGGCTGGCTAGACTTATTTTAGTCTTCACGCTTGCTGAAGAGCAAACCCTAATGTAGTTTAAGTTTGCTCTGACTGAAATCGTGAATGCTGGGATTCACACAGGAGGCTGCTATTTCATTCACATGTTACATAAGACTTCTCACGACTGGGAAAGGATCTCAATTCATGCAAGTGGCTCTCGGTGGCTAATACATTTCATTAACGGCAGCGTCCCAAGTTGTGATTCAGACGTGGTGAAGGCAACCCCAGATCACCTAACGGAAATACACTGGGGCCACGAGAAACTCGGAGAGAAGTCAACGCGCTGCCCATCTGCTCTCTGGAGAGTATAAGTCCATGAGCTCATGCTGCAAACCAGAGGCAGGAATTAAAAAATAAAAATAATTTTGGGGGGAAGTTTAGGTAGTAACCTAAATTTTTTTGAAATCTGAAATGTAGTTTGTAAATATGTTCTTAAAAATTGACACCCATCTTTATCTTAGATTCAAATCTTATTAAACACTGGAAAATAAGTATGCCTTTAGTGAAGAAAAGAATGTGAAAATGTATCTAACACATCACCTCAGCTGGGATGAAGGAAAGAAAGGGATGATAGTAACAACTGTCACCGTCAATGCTACTGGTTTGTCTATTCACGACTACCGGATCTGTGCTTTTACTAGTGCATGTTACCATTTCTTTCATTCTACAATAATCCTATGAAAGGAGCAGTATTAGTATTAAAATGATCACTCTTCCTTTTACATATAAGAATACTGAAAACAGAGAGGTGAAGAAATTTGCCCCAGGACACTCTGCTGATACCTGGCAGAACTGGGAATCGAACCCAGGGAGTCTAAGTTAGAGATCATGGTCTACACTATCCCTACATAGTAAGACAGTAAATATGCTCAGTGCTGGCAAGGAAGACTATGCATGATGTTTAAAAAAACCTTAAAAATTTTTGTGTGATAAAATTGCAGATTCATGTACAGCTAAAAAAAAAAAAAAAAAAAAGCCCAAAAAGCAAAAAACAAAAACAAGCAAGCATAGAGAGATCCCATACTGCCTTCATTCAAGCATCACCAGGTAATGATACATGGAGTTGGGGATGTAGACTATTTTTTGTGGGTTCTTGCCTTACAAAGTTCGAAGAAATAAATCCCAAACTCAAATATTGAATGGTGGAATTCACACAGGAGGCTGCTATTTCATTTCATTTGGCCTAAAACTGTGGTGGGCAAACTGCAGCTCACAAGCTACATGCGACTCTTTGGTCCCTTGAGTATGGCTCTTCCACAAAATACCATGGTCTGGGCGAGTTTTTTTTTTGTTTTTTTTTTTAAAGAAGTGGCATTAGAAGAAGTTTAAGTTTTAAAAATTTGGCTCTCAAAAGAAATTTCAATCGTTGTACTGTTGATATTTGGCTCTGTTGACTAATGAGTTTGCCGACCACTGGCCTAAAAGATCTATAATAATAAAAGTGTAATATACAAATCGACTGAATGACTCAACAGCGGAACCACCATCTGGACAACCTTCCAGAGGACCACACTATGACACACACTGGCTCCAAGCCAGCCAAGGTGGGTGTGGTGCGATTGGGGGGCTCTGCAGAAATGGGGAACTGCTCTGCCATTGCCCCATGACTGCCCTGCAGAGGGAGGCCCAGGCCACCCTGTGGGGCGATCGACTGGGGGGCTCTGCAGAACCAGGGAACTAGGAGTGTGTGGTAGCAGATGCAGGTAACGCCAAGCCATGATGGGATATGGGCAGGGGGCAGGGCAAGGCAGCCAGGGTTGTAAAGGCCTACCCTTCCCAAATTTCGTGTATTAGGCCTCTAGTTTTAAATGAAAATGTAGAAGTATTGGAAGTCTATACAAACTCCCCCTGGGGAGGGGCACCCAAATGGGAAAAGCCTATTTTCTCTCTCTAAAATGGGGGGGGGGGGGGGGACGACACACCTACATCTTGTTCTGAGTCTGTCTCCAGTTTATATATGCTGTGGCTGTTTGTCTGCACATGACCCTTTCTAATTGGATTCTTCCTTAATTTATATCCCCTGTGCTTTCCTAATTGGCCATCTCCTGCATTGTATCACTTTCAAAGGTCAAAGCCCACCTGGTGCCCCCGTCTTTATCTCCCCCAGATTTTGCAACATTCCTCTATCCTCTGTGAATGTATACCTTCCTCCCCCTTATCTTTTAGCATTTCTCCATTCTCTGTGAATGCATGCCTTCCCCTTCCCCTTCTCTTACAACATTTCTCTAGCTTCTGTAAAAGCCAGATTAGCATTCTGGCAGATCCAATCCCTCACCTACGCATTCCTGTCCCATGGAACCCCCTTATCTCTGACCGCCTGTCCTGTCTCTAACATTCTATCAGTAACATCTTTTTCCTTTTTTAATATATTTTATTGATTTTTTACAGAGAGGAGGAGAGAGGGATAGAGAGCTAGAAACATCGATGAGAGAGAATCATCGATCGGCTCCCTCTTGCACACCTCCCACTGGAAATGTGCCCGCAACCAAGGTACATGCCCTTGACCGGAATCGAACCCGGGACCTTTCAGTCCCCAGGCTGACGCTCTATCACTGAGCCAAACCGGTTTTGGCATATCAGTAACATCTTGCAAAACTGTAGTTCAATGTCACATCCGGGACCCTGAAAACATTTCATCCAACACAAGATCCTCTTGCTGCCTGTTACACCACACCTGGTTTCCTTCGAATTCCTCGACAAAAGAGTCATTTTTAAACTGTGGAGACTAGTAATATGCTCTCCAGTCTATAGTTGTGTCACTGAAAAATGTTATATAAATGGGACCACACATTATGGAAGCTTTTGGCATTGGCATTTTTCATTCAGCATAATCCTCACCGAGACTGTTGTACATATCAGTGATTTTCTTTATTGTTGAATAGCATTCCCTGGCATGAACAGACCACAATTTACCATTGAAGGCCATCTGGGTTGTTTCCAGTCTTTGGCTATTTGGAATAAACCTACTTAGATATCCATGTACGGGCTTTCCTGTGAACATAGGAGTTCACTTCTCTGTGTGATGCAGTAGTTGCAGGTTTAGTTTTTTAGAAACTGCCAGACCATTTTCTAGAATGCCATACAATTTTACATGCCACTGGCCATGCGTGCACGATCTAGTTTCTCTGTATCTTTGCCATCATGCAGTGTTGTTACTGTTTTTTATGTTAGCCATCCTGATAGGTGCGTGATGATACCTTCATCACTTTAATGTGCATTTGCCTAGCGGCTAACGGTGTTGAATGTTTCCTTAGGTGCTTGCCTGCCACCTGTGCGCCTGCTTCAGTGAGATGTTTGTTCATGTATTTAACTCATTTTCTAATAAGGTTTTTATTTTTTATACTGCCTGTCCATTTTCCGATGTGGGGTTTGCAAATATTTTTCTCAGACTATTGTTTGTCTCTCTAACCTCTTCTCAGATAAACTTTATTAAGCCAAATTTTTTCATTTAGATGAACTTATCATTTGTTCCTTTTAGGGGGTCATGGGTATGATGTAAAATCTAAGAATTCTTTGTCTATTCCTAGATCCCAATCTAGAAAATATCTGTACATTTTTTATAGTGTTTTTTTCCTAAGTTTTATTGCTTTACATTTTACACTTAAGTCTACAATGATGTATTTTGAGGGTTTTTTTTTTTTTCATAAGGTGTAAGGTGGAGGTTGAGGTTAATTTATTTGCTATAAAACTTCTCAAGGAAATATAGCAGAAAGTGACTGGCTGATGACTTTGAGTTAAGTAAAGATTTCTTAACGAGTACACTAAAAGCACAAGTCACAGGAGAAAAAAATTCATAAATTAGAAATTGTTAAGTTCTTAATTCATCAAAATCAAGAACTCCCTGCTCTCACAAGACACAGTTAAGACAATAAAAAAAAAAATCCTGACCTGGAGAAAATGTTTGAAATCACAAATATAATAAGGGCATTGTATCCAGGATACATAAAGAACTCGTAAAACTCAACAAACGAAAGACTGCAACCCAACTAAGGGAAAATAAGCAAATGAGTTACCTACTTTTAATGGCTAAATATATTCTTAGTATATTAGACCATAATTTAAATATACACCATAATTTAGTTGTCTAACTCATTAAAGAAATTATTGACCGTTATGTTTCCTCAAGCTATTCAGGCTCAATGACTAGGATGATATGCTAATTGTTTTGTGCAAAGCTTATTAAATTGTATAAAGAATTCCTCCAGCCTATGATCAGTCCTTTCAGATTTACTCTGCATCTGAAGCTGCTAGAGAGAGGGGGGAAAGGGAATGAAAGACAGGGACAGAGCCAGGAAGAAATAACGGTATACTTTACTCTATAAAATAGACTTCTCCATTTTCGGTGTAGGCCATCTCCCAGTTCTCAGGTAGAGGACCTAGATTATCCTCTGCGGAAAGAGGTAGGTATTGAGGGAACTTCTGAGAAGGGTCCGTGATGGGAGCAGCGATGAGGCTACTATTCACAGGTGGGAGCGCTGCTTCCTGGAGGCCGTGCTCTTCTTGATCAGCAGAATCGGCTGTGCAATCGTGGGAGAGAGAGACACAGAGGAAACAATCATCCATCAGACCCCAACCAGAGGTACTGTCTCAGAATCGGCTGTGCAATCGTGGGAGAGAGAGACACAGAGGAAACAATCATCCATCAGACCCCAACCAGAGGTACTGTCTGCACCTCAAAGCCCTCATCCTCTCCTCCTTTCTGACCATTGACTATTCTGTTTTATTTAGATAAGGTTTTTAAGCAAAAACATCAAAATGATAGACCATATTTATTTTACCCCAAAATAAATAGAAAAACATGCTCAAAGGACACAGTGCTCACAACTGAGGAAGTGTCAAAGAAGAAACAAACCATGACTTCAAACCCTCAAGTTTCTTAAACTACAAAGGCCATAAAAAAAGAAATGAGGAAGAGAAGGTCATCAAAACACAGATGAGCTGAACTGTCAGTCCAGGGGAATCATCTGCTTTCATGGCTAGGAAGGCTTTTGAAGGTGAGAAAGAAGTCCATGATGGAAACAGTGGCATTCTTGTTCATTTTGCATAAATTACTTAAAGCATTTTTTGGTAGACAGTGGCAAAGGTCAAAGATTCACCAATCAAGCTGTCAAGTATATAAAAGTTTACAATGCAGAGAGTTATACCAGTGAGTCAGATTTGAGTCTTTTGCAAAAGTGAGGAGAATGTTCCTGTGAAAACCAAGACAGCTCCCCCCAGAACAGTATGATGTTGGGGGATGGATTTGACTTGGGTCTTAAAAAGAAGCCTCTAAGTACCTGAGACTTACTAACTAGAAACATCAAGAGGTGATGTCATCAAAGTATCCACAAATGCAATGCTGACATTCTGGCTGAATTTTTATAGAGGTCAATGTCAATCTCTATGAGGTTGGAAAACATACAATCAGTGACGGAGTTACTTCCTCTCTCCCATAGTGATTGTACTGTAGACATTTCTGACTTACTGAATGAGGAATAATGAAAGGCTGTAATTCGAATCTTTCTCTGATCAGCAGCTCCCAATGACACACGTGAGAACAAAGGTAATCCAAAAGCTGGATGGAGGATGAACCTATGACACCACCACCACCACAGCCACCAAAACCTCTGTATACTGAGAGGCTGTCTGTGGTTTTTCCTTCCTCTGCATTTCTTTCCTCTTCTGCTACCACCGCTTAGACCTCCCTTTAAAAACCATCTCCTTTATTCCAGGTCTCCGGGAATTGCCGCAAATTCACTGCTGCTCACACGGTGGGCCCATGTTACACTCCTGTCTCTCTTGTATTTGTGATTGGATCAGGCATATGACCCAAGGCAAACCAATGAACATCAGGCACGCAAGTTTTGCTCTTATCAATCAAGAGGTGGGCCCCTGATGCGGAAGACATTAAGCTGACAGGTTCTCATACTGCAGGTGCAGGTGACCCTCTTGACAGAGCTTGCCATTCCTGCCTGACACTTAGGCCTACACAGAGGAAAGCAGAGATGAAAGACACAGAAAGCCACCTAATCCCCGTGACTGAGTCTCTGGTTTTCATGCCTGAAATCAAGGCTGCCCTTGGCCTCCTTAACAACTCAATCCCCTACATTCCCTTTAACAGCTGTATGTGAAGGGAAAAAGGAAAATAGGAGAAGAGAGAAGAAACATTTTGAAATTACTAACCAATAAAGAATAAATTCAAAACTTGGCAAGAATGGAAAGATTCACCCTTACTTTGCTAGGAGCCAACATGTATTCATTTCTGGTATGTCTTTGGAGGCCCACTTTTCCCACTTACATGTAAGAAGAATCACTAGGAAAGATTTTTAGCATGCAGTCATTACGCTATTATGCCACTCTATGCTCAAAGTGGCTGGTGGGTTGCTACTTAATGGGGTTCAGAGTGCAAGATGCTTTGACACAGCTGGTTTACAACACACATTCTACACGGGGTAGGGTCAATTATTTGAAAGAATTTACATGAGTTAGTGTATGACGATGGGTTACCAGCCGTCACAGTTGTAGTTTTGTAAGTGAGGGGGCATTCATTCAACACATTCCTTACATACAACACATTCCTTACATGTCCCATCAATGTACATATTGAGGCCAGTTCTCTGGGCATCCTATCGGCTTTCTCGGCATTAAGACAGGCATCCGAATAAGACAATCGGGTGCCACTGTTTTGTGCAAACTCGTGATCAGTCTGACTTTAGCAAAGATGATCTGGGCCCAGGAGTTTTCCTATGATGGCAGGATTTCAAGCGGAGACTTTATGGGGACAGATTTTCTGAGGCATGGCTTCTAGAGACCAAGGTTTTAGTATTAGAAAGAGGAAGAGCATCAAGACCTAGAGTCAACTACCCCTCTGCGCTCTCTATCAAGAAATCTACTTAGTAAATGATGGACAAATAAAGGCCCACCCAGAGGCTTGGCAGGACTGCATCATGGCACGTGATGCCATAGGGCTTCTGTTTCTGTGTCCACGTCTGTTTTGGCTTATACCATGATTTGCTCTTCTTATTTGTTGAAAGATGATGACATTAAAATATTAGCTATTTTCAAAATAAATATTGACTTTTAAAATCTGATTTAATTTCAGTGAGAGCTACTAACTATAAATCCATAAAAATATTTATTTCTAACTTGGTTGAAATCACCTACTTTCACTATGTTAAGGATGGCAAATTTCTCCTAGCTATTGCAGCTGTAAGTTAGGTCTAGTCCATTCTAATAGAGAAAATGGCAATTTTCATGGAGTCAGACTCTCAGAGCTGGAAGGGGGAACACAGACATGATTTAATCCTAGCTGGTTATCTTGCAAACGTGAGAAGTAGTACCATGTTCATAATGAGAAACTACTAAGAACCAAGCTAGGATAGCAAAGCAGGTCCCCTCCTGCTTTTTTCAATGACTTTTGCAGAGGGATCAGGCTACTGTTAGACAAGAAAGTAATCAAAATGTTTTTAATTGCCATGTTGAGGAATTTTAGGTTTTTGAGCGCTAAAAAAAATGAGAGAGGCCCATTTAGGCTGTAGAAAGCATTCATATAACATAAAATTTCCCCTAAATATCCCATTACACTTGGTAGCACAAGGAAGGAAATAAGAGTTTAAGGAATCTCCCCTTTCCTGGAATTAAGTCTAACCAAGCAATGGCTGACTGTGGTGAAGTCAGAAGAAGTCATTACAAGAGAGGAAGATTCATGTGCTGGAAATAGGTAACTCCTTAAGAACTATAACCCTAAAATATTAAAGGATAATATTCAAATAGAGGAAAAATAGAAGAAACAAGGTATTCTTCCAAGTCGCAGCATCACAGACGGCAGTAACTCACCTATCATGCAGTGGTTACGTTCTGAGTCACTATATAAGGTCAAACCCCCATAGAGTGAGAAATATCATAGACCTATCCAGAGGTCTGCCCTTGAAGACCCCTTCCTAAGTGCGAGGGCTGGCAGCCTGAATCTATACAAGTAGTTAATGTAATGAGTACTATGTGCCAGCTGATACAGAACGCATATGCAACAGGTAAGCAGGCATTTATTATTTCCCACTGTATAGGGCATATGGTAAAACCTCCCGATGTTAATAGACATGTGATATTCCAGCTCTACTCTCCAAGGTATGATGCAAAATGATGTGAGCCTTCCAAAGGGTTCACTTGTTACTAAAAATTGTTAAACAAATTCTCACATTTCCCTTTGTCAGCTGTCAGCCATATAATGGAGCAGTGTCATGCCAGGAAATTAATAGACAATATGCAGACAGCCTTCTACACATAGTTTTGAAGAGGCAGACACAACACTGGTTTTTCTCGACTCCCTGTCCCTTCTACAAACCTGTCCCTCCAGCCCCTTTCAGACAGTTGGGTGACGTCAGAACAGTCTTTTGAAGCAACATGATAAATAGACCGGAAAAGACACCTCTCCCAAGCATTGGGGGGGGGGGGGGGGGGGGGCGTGTGAATCCTGGGGACCCTTCCTAATTCCTCAGGAGAACAGACCTTACAGTTCTTTGCAAAAAGCCTCCCACCACCCGCTTCCCCCCAAGTCCGGGGACAGGGCCCACCTGCCCGGGCTTTACCTGTGAAGCTGCTGTTCATTTCAGGACCGTCATCCTCCTCCAGCTCCGCGTGCACTAGGCCAGCATTTTGCATGTCATTGTAGGACTTGGTTCGCTTGGGGGTCGCCTGCTTGGAGCCGGAGTGAAGGCTTTGCAAGGCATCCGTCGTGATCACTTTCCCACTGACCGGCTGGCTAGGAGGTTTGGGCGTCCCATAATAGTTTCCTAGGAGATGGAGAGGCACATTTGCATGTTTCAGAAAGAATACTTCGTTGTTGTTCTTTTCAAGACTTCACATCCAACTGTTTCAGCACATTTTTTCAAAAAAATGTATTTAAGCCGGGAGGAAAAAAAACAACAACACAACAAAACCCGGAACAGACTGTATTTGGCTTCTGAAATGGGTTGGGAAAGATGCTGCTGGTACCCAGCGAGGCGTTTTAGAAGCTGGGAGGAAAGCTGCATTGTTTTGGTGCAAAGAACTTACTAGACTCAAAACAAAGGCGGCTGTGCTGAATAGCAACACTTCACCCTCATTACATCAGAATTCCAACTGGTCACCCGTTCACATATATGCACTCGCAGAATGCTGAATCCAATGGAGAGCCGGCCTCACAGAACATAAAACATTCATTACCGCTGCACCCTCACGGCCGACCAAGTGGAGGTCACTCTCCCTTCAGAAGGGGCTCCTCACTAGGGCGGCTTTAAAAGGCAGGGTTGTGACCCCACGTGGCGCCTCTTTAACTGAGTGGCAGCTTAGCTCTCAGGGTCATCCTCCCTGGAACAACCTTGCCAAGTTTTAGCAGAAACTGTGTCAGGGGTGGAAACCCGTATGAGCCGTTCTTTTAGTAACTACCCATCTTTTCTTAGCCACGTTTCCCCAAAGTCTGGTTAAGACCCAACCAGAATGTGCTCCTGGGTGGTACGTGGATGGACTTTCTAATTTGAATTAAGTGTGTGCGTTTTTAATGTGCACTAGAAAAACATCAAATTAGTAAATTAGGGTGCTTTTTTTGTTATTGTTGTTAATCCTCACTTGACATTTTTTCCACTGATTTTTTTAGAGAGACGGGAAGGGATGGGGAGAGACACAGAGGGAGAAACATTGATTGGTTGCCTCCCACACGCACCCTGATCAGGGCTGGGTATTGACCCTGCAACCGAGGTACATGGCCTTGACCAGAATCAAAGCCGGGAACCTGAAGGCAGATGCTCTCTCTACTGAGCCAAACCAGCAAAGGCCTAAAGGTTACTTTTTAAATTATGGACAGGGACAACAGTGTGATGATTGTGGGGTTTGGGGTGGAGGAAGAGGGCATAGAGGGAATAATGGTGATAAAAAAATAAAAATAAAAAATATTTTTAAAATTGACTTTAGCTTACAGTTTAAAAAGGCAACTATCCTATATAATAAAAGGCAAATCGACCAAACAGTAGAATGACCGGTTGCTATAATGTGCATTGACCACCAGGAGACAGACACTCAACACAGGAGCTGCCCCCTGGAGGTCATTGTGCTCCCACAGGGGAAGTGCCGCTCAGCCAAAAGCCAGGCTCCTGGCTGGCGAGTGCAGCAGCAGCGGTGGGAGCCTCTCTTAGGCCTGGGGGAGCAGGCCTCAATGTCAGTCGGACATCCCCCGAGGGATCCCCCACCCGGCAGTGCATGAATTTTGTGCACGAGGCCTCTAATATCGAATAAGAAATTAATCAACTAAATAAAGCACGACCATAGTAGTGAGGAGTTTCCTTTTGAAAGTTTAAATTAAAAAGTATGCTTTAAAAAAAAAAAAACCCTGTAAGTAGACTTTATGTTCAGATATGGACAAAATCATGAAGGTGATTCATAAATGGTCAAAGTTGGAAAAATACAGCTTATAACCAACACCATTCCATGAGTGGATGATAAAAAACATCAACATAAGAAGCCCCTGACCCAGTCCCAATCTCTGGGCTTCAGTGGGAGCCGGGAGGAGGGCCAGGTGTACCGAGCCCTTTATGATATGTCTGTCCTAAACCAGGCTTGCTGTTCTGGCTTAGCAAAGAACCTGTAAATCACAAGAAACCCCTTTTCTTTCCAAGGGTCTCATCCCATTGTCTAACTTCAGTTCACAATTACATAAAAAAAATTTTTTTAAACATACATTTTATTATATAAGCACAAAGGATAAGGAGGCAGAAACTTGTGCATGAGACAAGGGATGAGGAATTTGCTTCCTATAAGCTTGATCTTTATAATGAAAACTCATTCAATGAGTATTATCTACTTAAAATAGTTTCTGAATCACCGAAGTTATGCATATACACGCCCACTCTCTCTGAGAGGGTGCAAGTGGTCATCAAGGGAACGCTGAACCCTCCAACTGGAAAGGGCCGGGGCTGACGGCACCAGGCGTGAACCCGAGGCCACAGGCGGAGACCATGGACGCACATTCTGTGGCCTTTCACAGAAGGTGACAGGTGTTTCCGTCTCTTCCCAAAGTCCTTCCAGGTCCAACGTAAAGGCACAGGACCAGCAGAACCACCAGAGGAAAGGCCTGTGTGTGTTACAGGGGCCCCAGGAAGGAGCACACACAAGGGCCCCGACTCGGCTTGCACCGTCCCACAGCCACAGGCTGACTGTCCCACTAACCGAAGACCATCTGTCAGAAAGGCTTAGGGAAGAAAGTTAACTTTTTTTTATTTTATTGATTTTTTTACAGAGAGGAAGAGAGAGGGATAGAGAGTTAAAAGCATCGATGAGAGAGAATCATTGACCAGCTGACTCTTGCACACCCCTTTCAGTCTGCAGGCCAACGCTCTATCCACTGAGCCAAACCAGTTTCAGCATAAAGTTCACTTTTTAAAAATATCTTTTACAGTGAACAGAAAGGAGAGCTTTTCCTGAATTTAATTCAATTCCTTCCAATCACATTAAAACGTGTGTATTTCCAACATACAGGTTAAACTAAGGCAATGTGTATATGTCATTCTTCCACTGAAAGGCGTGGAATATATTTTTACAGTCATATCACTTTTCCAGGGCCATTAAACTGAAGTAATATTTGTAAAACCATCGTCATTTAAGAATCAGTTAAAACTTAGAAATCTTATTCAAGGCAGAAATAAATGTTTAGAAAGTAAAAGTTGTACCTAAATTTGACAAATGTGGATTTTCCTCAGTGTTCAAGTCTAAGATCTTTCTTAAGTTAATAAATGATGAGCAGATTTCTAAAACACAACAAAAAGCACCCCCTACTCCCCCCCAGAATCCACTCGTCCACAGTTGTTTCCTGTTTCTGGAAACTAGTTTACGATGATTGGAGACAGGGAAGGTGCATCTCATTAGGTGGAACCACATGTAAGTGCTGTTGTAGAAGACACACTGTCAGTCACCAGCAATGCCACGTGGGTTGATCTAATGGATGGGCATTCGCGTTGCTCAGCACACGATGGTGATAAAGAATTAGAAGAGGCAGCCCCTGGTTCAAGTCCCAGCTTCCCCACTGGCTTGTGGCCCTGGGCACGTTATTTCACCTTCCTGTAAGAAGCCTCACTCTCTTCTGTAAAACCGGGTCCTCAGAGCATCAGTTTCCACCCAGACACCTGCTATGAGGGTGAGGGTGAGGTGGTCCAGTGGATGCCTTTGCCCATGCCAAACCGTGAGAGTGAGGCCTAACCCATGCTTCTTAATGTCCAAGGGGCACGTCTCCAATCTTTAAGCGGAAGCTGGTCACACCTTGCTGGGAGGATTAATGACACAGTGTGCCTCAAGTGCTTGTCACTGGCAACCGGTGTCCTTCCTTGATACAAAGGAATAAGCAGGCGAGCCTGCCTAGGACGAGATAACCGCGGGCAAGCCTGGGTACTCAACCTAATCCATCCGCTGTGATGGGGACGCTTCTCTCTGACACAGCACCGGCCCTGGCGGCCTTCCTGACTCTCAGGAAGCTCAATGCCTTTCTCGAAGGTGCCCATGAGCTGGACGGTGTGGAAAGCAGAGGTGTTATTCCTCCGATCGCTCTGCAGTCCTCCCAGTCCACAGGGCTACGACCTTTATGGAAAAGCTCCACCTAGTGGTTTTCTCACTGCCGAGGTCCAACTTTCCTTTCCAGATATTTTTTTCACATATTTAAAAAAAACAATTTGGATTAGTGACCAACATTTAAAAATGGAATGTTTCATATCATGATCTCCCCTATTTGCCAGTTACCAGCCACTCCAGGGCCTCAGCCATCCCCTTCACTCCCTCCCTTTCCTGCCTCACTCCTCCTCTCCACGTGAGTGCACATCCCCTCCCTTCCAGCCAGCTTTCCCCCTTGTCAATACTCCGCACTCCGGTCATAAATAACTAGCCTGGCCAGGCCGTGGCACAGAGACAAACCCTACAGCACACACCAGGGACTCCCTGGGAAGAATATATGGATCACTTAATGGCATTAAATAAAAATCATAGAAGAATTATAAGTGATTAAAAAATTAATTTGGGTCATCTCTTGGCAGGCTGCACAGTGTCTGGGAGACGGGAGACGGCTCCCCCCAGCCTCCACCTTCACCGACACACACTTCCCGAGGTGGCCGGGTGCCCTCCCAAGCGGGGTGTGCGCGCCTCTGTAGCTATTTTCAGAACTGGCTCCATGAGAAAGCTCTGCAGGGATGGTGGCTGGAGCGGGGCAGGCCCTCTGCAGCGGGGAGCCTCTGCCGCCTTAATTAACAGGCAGTCTCTGGCCACCACCAAGCCAAAGAAAACATTTCCTCCTGACATGCGTTTAAAAATTCATGGGGGCTCGCAAATAATTTTTAGAGCTTGATAAAATATTTAAGGAGAACCGCTGCTCCCTGAGTTTTGAGCGAGGATGAATCAAACCTATACTGCCTCCCACTTTGCACAAATTTAGTATTCACTCATGTATTTCCTCACGGAGAAGCGTTTCATGCCCGGCTCTCTGCTTGACACGGGGGATTTATTCCTCTTTCGTAGATGAAGACCAGCCAGACGCAGAGCAGCAGAAATGCCTTTCTTGGCATCAGCCTGGCTGGTCCAGGGTCCACAGCTCTAGGTCCCCTGGTCCCATGTTCCTTTTATAATTTTGTATGAGGTGGGAGAGGGGGAGACTTGTCTCCCTTCTTCCTACAGGACAAAGTAGAATAGCATGGTAGTGACCGCCTGTAGCTGGGAACCTGAAGGAGACATTTTCCATGGGGCAGTGTCAGCCCCAGGGGGGCAAAACAGTTTTTTGGGGGAG